GGCGACTTCAGTCAAATCACAACTGTGACGACGTCATCGACGTATATGTTGTGTTGAAGATCACGAACAGAAGCACTGTCATTATTATTATGATTGTTCATCAAAGTTTTGATAGCAGCATTCAGGATAAATGGGCTACACATAGCGCCAAATAAAACTGATGTGAATTGGTACGTAACGAAGGGGCTATTTATATCTGTGGGATCGAATAGCCACAAGAACTTAGTATATTGTTTATCATCTTCGGCGAGTCTGATCTGTAAGAACGCCTTCTCAATGTCACTGAAGAGTGCGACTGGGTTTGCGCGAAACCGCATAAGTATGGCGGTGAGGTCATTTAAGAGCAGAGGGCCGGTATCCAGACAGCTATTCAATGAAAGGAAATCATTTCCCAGTTTTGCCGAACAGTCATAAACGATGCGTATCGGAGAGGATGCGGATTCGGGGCATTTAACTGCTCGATGTGGTAGATAATGTCCTTTGTTTACATCATCCACGTATACCGGTTCAATGTAATTCTTACTCAGCTGGTGATGAATGACCTTGTCGTACGCGGCCAACACGTTGCTTGGCAACTGTCCAACCATGCGTCGAGTGCGCGTCTTGGACATCTCGTAGTTTGTTGGAAGTGGCTCATGATTAGTTTTCCACAGTAGTTGAGCGACGAATCTTCCATCTACTTCTTGTAGGCAATTTTCAGAATATTGCTGAAATTGTTCATTCGCGGTAGGCTTCGTCGTGGGCTGGTTTATCACATCACTATTCCTACCGTTTCTAGATCCAAGTAGGAGTTGATCGAAGTGTCAAGGCGTTCTGCAGTTGATTGCGCGGTGATGTGAAATGTTCGAACGAAGTTAGTGGATCGTAGACCGCCGCGTACAGACCGGGAAAGTAGAAATCCGAAAGCGGAACTCACGGCAGTAGGTCCAGGACCCCGAATAATTCTGTTGCCAATAAAATCCCAGTATCGATCTGCACCAATTAAAATGTCAACATTCATAGATATGACGTTTGATACTGGTTGTGCGAGGCGTAATCTTGCTAAATGCGGTAGGTTGGCAACGTCAGCTGCAATGTCATTAGCAAGGCCGTTGGATATTTCACGGACTTATAACACATTCAGGGGAACGGTATCTCCGTAGCGCGTATGCAAATTCACGGTGATGTTGTTGACGTCTTGAAAAGTAGAGGGGTTGTCGAACGACTTTAGTGTCAATAGTTCGGTACCGTGCACTCTGGCATTTAATTTGGCTGCAAATTCACGCGTTATGAAGGATCGATCCGCGCCTTCATCGAATAAAACGGTTGCTTGTAGTTTTCATCCTCTGTATGATGTTGGAATAACTGCAGTTTTCAACAATGCGCGTTTAACTGGGGATTCAGATATTGGACCCTCTGAATACGGGCTTTTAGGTTTCTGACTAGCGTGCGTAAAATTGACGCTGACAGAGGGAGCCGGAGGTTCGAAATGAGGGGTGTTCGTGGTAGATTGTCCATCGTCTTGTTTGTGGTAGTGGAGCGATGAATGATGACGTCTCTTACAAATACGGCAGTTAAACTTCAATTGACATTGGGAAACAGCGTGTTTTTCAAGGCAATTGAAGCAGAGCTGATTACGTTTGACAATTTTCATTCGTTGAGAAGTGTCTGTCACTGAAGTGCAGGTAGACGGGTTGTGTTGCTTGTCGCAATAAATACAATTTCTCCGAGGCGGACCACAGGGAGCCCAGGAACTATAATCAACTGTAGTAAGCAGTCTCTATGAGTGGGGGGGGGGGTATCGGCTGGTATCTAGTGTAAGAAATAGGGAGTGCGTAAAGTTGATCATAGTTCCTGGGCTCCCTGTGGGCGGACGCGGTCTTCTATAAGCGATTGTTACGTGCGATGGCGACATGCGAAGCTCTACCCCTCTGATGGGTTGTTTGCGTGTAGAACGCAGCGATCGATGAATTGGGCGACTCGGCTCCGTGGTTCGAGTTATTTCCCACTGATAAAACTCTTACCTCGCGACACAGTGCTTGGCTCAATTCGCTCATGATCAGTGTCCACGTTTCTTCCTCGGCAGCAACAAAACGCAGGTTACAGGTTGTCGATTAATAACATTTTTCTCAATATTTAATCTTCTTCACGATTTGTTTTAATAACAGCGGTCACGATCCCGGGTCGTCCTCGTCGTTGAAAGCGATGGTCATTTAAGCCGAACTCAGACAGCCTCGCTCGACGTCACATGAAAATCTTCTGAGACCGCCATCTTACCGGCATCTTACACTGCTGTCGCCGATGAACGCGGGGATGAACGTCTCGTCTAAAATATTAAACACGGAGCTAGCCAAAAAGCTATATCCAATTGCATTTGAAGACATTAAAAAAATTAAGGAATATCTTCAATGGGGAAACAACAGTTGTTGAACAGTAGATATGGGAGAAACTGAACTTATTAACGGTAGCAAAGTAGACATAGATTAAAAAAATCTAAATAAATTTTGAAATAATGAGGATTTATGTATACTTTAAACTAGTACCTTAATTTTGCAAAATTGGGTTACAAAGAATATACCCTTGGGGTCCTAAACACACAGTTTCAAAATGGTGTCCACACAAGTACTCACAAAACTTGCTTGTAGTAAATATTGAATGGGATACGGTATATCTCATGAATGCTTGCTAATGTGAAGGGCTACAAAAATTCATAGTTTACAATGAATTTCAGTTCTGCCAGTGATCCGAGAAAATTTTTCTAGTTGTTTCAACGTTTTCTAAACTGAATTAAACCAAGGCATATAAATGTCAATTTTACTATGCCTTGCAATAAATAAGCATTTTCTCTGATTATGTTATGATGCTAGTCAAAAAAGTAACAAAACAGCACGAAATGAAATGCGAAAATCAGCTGTTGACCTGGGTCACAACACCCCTCGGCCAAAATCCGACTAGAAAACTCTTGATTTCTGATTGAAATAATTCGATTTGTAAGTATGGTCATTATGCACCTGTGTTTTTAACCCCATCCAATCCCAGGGCAAAGTGAAGGATTTGGAAAATAGTTATATGAAATTTGGCAAACACCCTCAAAATTATCAAACGCCCGACCCACCTTGGGCATATATGTTTGACTGCTGAAAAAGTGGGAATATAAACTGGAACGCGACGGCCAGCAGAAGACACAGTCAGCTGGCATGAGTGATTAGACTGTGTATATAGGATTTTTTTATTTATTTTGGGCAGAAAAATATATATTTACTACACATGTACTGAAAAATTGTGAGTTTTTGTTTTAGATTTTCTGAAATCGGCGAAGTCTGAAACGCTGGTTTCCCAACTTCAATTTTATACACAGTCCAATCAATGTTGCCAGCTGACTGTGTAAAAAGCCTGCAATGTCAATGGGGGTATTTTACATTACTTACCTCAAGAAAGCTTTACATTTACTTTGAAACATGCTCGTTGTTCGTTCGTATCGTATCAAAGAAATGCGAAACCACAACCGTGAATAAAACACACTGTAGACAGAATAGTAAGCACGCACTCTTGTTTCACCGGAAGGTGATCGAAGTAGGTTGTCAACTTGTAGTTAGGGATTCGAAACAAAAAATTATCGTTGAAAATTTAGCATGGCTGATAGACAAATGAATTAGAAAAATATGTATTAGCTTTTAAGGAGGTGTAAATAGAAAACAGTTTAATGAAAATAAGAAAAATCATTCATTTCATTTATTATTTTGTATTCGCGGCGGGAAAGTTTACTCCATACGGTGTGTGGCGGCGCTGTACATTTAGTATGATTCAGTTGGCCGGGTTTGTATCGGGGTTTGTATGTAATTTTGATAAGTAACCATGGAGGTCTCTAGATCAAGTACGTCGATGATATATCAATGCATTTTCTTTTATTTCACAAATATTTTTAAAGTTAAATATTGAGAAAAATTTTATTGATCGACAACCTGTAACCTGACCTGTAACCTGGCCTGTAACGTGTAACCTGCGTTTTGTTGTTGCCGTTTCTTCCTCATGATTTCTCGCAAGTTGCTGTTGGATTGGGATGGGTAATTTGTTCATAATCACGGGGACGAGTAGATTACCATAATTGTCCTGATTTTCCCCAAGACCAGTCAGTCCTCTTATCGTGGTTTCAATCTCGTCATGAAATTGGCGGAGGCTGGCTGGCGTATGCGAAGGCGGTGATAATTCCCAGAACGATCTCATGTGCGAATCAATGATCGTCTGTTGTTGACCATAGCGGTTTGTTAATAAATCCAAGGCAGCAAGGTAATTGGCGTCTGTAGTTCGAAGCCCTTAGATTGTTTGGCTTCGCCGGTAAGAAAGCTCATCAAATATGTGAGCTTTTGCACGTTTGATAGCTGTCCGTCATCATGAACTGCGAATCTGAAGGTATCGTGAAACTCTGTCCATCGTAGCGGATCTCCTTGGAACGGGGTAATTTCCAACTTCGGAAGCTGCACCGATCGGTATCGAGTTGAAGCGGTGACTGGCGAGTCGTGTATGTGAATCAACGGCTTCGGTGGGCTGTCTGTAGATCTTCGATAAATTGCAGGACAGTCTCGCATCGGTCGGAGATGTGCTGCTCGTAATCCAGTGTTTCAATGGCGATATCGTCTTCGGCGTCAAGGGTGTCAATAAGCTTTCGGTTCGCTGTAAAGAGTAGATCGAGTTGCCTTTTGAGGTACGTCTTCTTGACGGTGATTGCTCTTCGGGCTGCATCGTTGTAACTATTGATGGCAGTTACGAGTGGCTGTAAAACCCTCAGTAGGAAAGCTCTCTCCTTGTTTCTCTTGTTCGTGAGCTTGGTGATCGACGGTTTCAATCTCGGCACCATAAATGTGGGGGAAATTGAGAATAGGGTTTCACACTTATCTCAACCCTAACGAGCGTAAAGTTCAAGGCGCGTAAAACAAGGGACGGTCGATCAAAGGAACAGGAAACAAATAAACGATATCAAGAAACTGCTTTTATTACTCGTCACTGGAAAAGATTACATGTACTCTCGCGCTAAAACATGTATTCAGGCCTTTTAAGCCTCAGTAGGATCAGCCACCCTAACAAATTTTAGCGGGCTTGGTGCTGATTGGTTCATAGTGCTATGACCTATGATTGGCTAATAAGGGAATAGCATTTGAAACGACGTCTG